AAGGCAGATGAATGCACATTGATAGCCTTATAAATGCAAGCTGCCTTTAAATCAAGTACTGGAATTAAGTGTTTGCACAAGTCTCTTTAAGAACAAGGACACAGCATACCTACCTACATATGACAATACATTCAATAAGCTTTTCATCAGTTTACACAAATTTTGAACCTTTCTAAATGGCTATTTTGGGTAGCTCACAAAAATTTGAGATTCAAATCCAATTATAATGCATTAATAGTATAAAGTGTATATTATATAGTACACAATGGAAAGGAAAAATGAAAAATGTTAACGTTGTAATTATTTCAGATAAAGCATTTTCATTCCTCCAAGCTTACATAAGCATTATTCTAACTTGAGGCATTCTTCCCCAGGTGGCCAAATGGCTTTTTTACTATTACATGGGTGATTCAGTGAATGTTATCACACCCTGTGGCTCCATTCGGAAAAGATGTTCCCTATGCTGCCACTCACAGGGTGTGACGCAGGAGGCCGTCTATGGACTGCTATGATCTTCTGACATGCAAGTGCCATGCAAAAAAGTGAGATATGCAAGGTAAAGGAGAGGACAGAATGCTGAAGTGCTTATTTAACTTAGTCCAAATACTCACTGACGGATACTTCGTAGGAACAAAAATGTGGAGATTTGGCATCCAAATAAACAGAGCATTATGACCCAGTTCTAGTACCTGGGGGAGCACTGAAAGGCTTTGAAAGGAGGGGTCACCATGTCTTTATGAATCGTTTCATGCATCTCTGGTCTACTGGCATGGATAGCTTCTCAAAGCTGTCTTTGTCTCTTCACAGCTCATTGCTCAGAAAAGGCCCATGCCTTCATTGGGCCCTTTCAGTGGGAAAGAGCTACTGCTGCACGTCACTCAGGGTGACATGTCTGACATATCACAAGGTCAAGCTCTGTGCTAAACACAAGTCTGAAATGCCTTCAGACCTAAAACCAGATCTTTTATAATTCCTCTGTATGTTCCAAGATCCCATGCAATAACGCTTCGGCAATTATTGTATTTTGCACTAAAAAAAGATTTTAAAAAATGCGTATTTTTGACACACACTATCAGACACCTCCCAGTAATCATACAATATCAAAAGTACTTATGATTTCAATACAGTATTGGTTGTCATTTTAACCTCAGTTCTGATTCTTCACGCAAACAGACGAACAGGCAGTGAAGAGGGCTGGACTAGTAGCCAAATTTTTTTTTTTTTTTTGTAATTTGTCAAAAATTGATTTGTATACTAGCTTTTCAATCTCATCCACGCATTTTAATGTATGACTCAAGCCAGTATTTTATTCTATCACACGTATCTACAGATGGTTGAGGGGAGAAAATCTAGGCATTCAAAATAGTTAATTGGTGACATTTAGAGAACTAACTACTGGCTGATTTTTTGAATAATTCTAAAGTTAACATATTTATTTCCCAAAGATTTGGGATAATTTTGTAGAAGCACACCAAAAAAGTGACTGTTGTCTCTCAAGCAATCAGATTAGTATTTCAATACACAGAATAGATTATGTATTCATTCTGTGAAGACATTTTAAAGATTTTTTTTTCTGTTTTAAAATTACAAAAATGAGCTAAAGAGAGGCTACTCCCTTTCTGTAAAGAAACAGGTGACTCACAAGCTGAATTCTGAGAATAAGGTTGACTGAAACAGGAAAAAAATGAAAGTTAGGGAGTGAGGAGACACCACAGTTTGATCTTGCGAAAAAGCTTTAAATATCAAAGTCTGAGTAACACTGCTTTCATCTTTAGGTGCAGACTCTAAGCTCTTTCTCTTTATTTCTTTTTAAAGAAGAGAAAACAAAAAATCATGCAAGGTGGAAATATAATTTACCTTCATTAAAACTACAGTGCTAATTTTGTAATCACACAATTGGAAATTTCTAGGGACACAAAATGATAAATTCCCCAAGGCTACCGCAAACTTCATATGGATGCATACTAAATCATTCAAAAAGCTTTAATATGCATATGAAAAGTTGAAGACTGTAGTTTGTCTCTTAATTTTAATTTACTGAGGGTCTTTTTAAACAGTTCCCCCCAGGGGACCTGTCAGGTGGGATTAGCAGGACAAGAAGGAAGGTTACGTTAATGGGAGAGCCCTGAGTTGCACAAATTCAGATCTGATGGACAGCCAGAGCTCAGGTAATTCCTCAGTTTTGCGCAGGAGGCAGAAGCCGCAATTTTGAAGAAACGTGATTATTCTTTAAATGTCTCTGGGTAATTTAAAAACCTAAGAAATAAAAGTATTCTGATTATACACCCCTAGATTTGAGAGCTTTCACCTGCCCAGCTGCCACCGAGGAGGGCGGTGGGACCGCTAGTGCCTGGCCAGCCAGGGTGGAAAGCAGTCTCCAACACTGCTCGAACAGTCAGTCCCCATCTTCCTGGAGAAACAGCTATCAAACCACGCAGAAGCGTCCACTTGCTGGATGAGCTCGTGACTGCCTTCTGGACCACACTGATGCTGATGATGAAGGTTAGGTTTTCAAAAACACAAGGGAATTGTCCAATTCTTTCTGTCATTTGGTGGATGCTCTAATGACCTCAGTGAGAAAAGAATTACATCTCTACCTGCTTTTGAAAACCTCACCTTAAATGTCTAAGCTGGCAAGTCCTTACTGTGAGCTGCGAAACTGGTGAAAAACACTCACTGATTTCCGTAAGTACTAAAATAAGCTCTTAAGACTTACACCTTTGAGCAGTCTAATTGAAGTTAATGTTAGCAGTAGTGCAGAGTTTGAAAGGATGACAGTCTTTACGCTCATGTTGACTTTTGAAGGTGATCCAAATAATCAAAATGACTACAGACTTTTTCCTTTTACAAGAAATTTTAAATTAAGTGTCAAACTTGGATCAAGGGTCAGACTCTATGACTTTCAAGTACACATAATTCTAAACAGCACTATTCGCACTACTCAATAAAAGCAGTTTTACTGGTCAAATGAAAATGAATATATAGTCTTATAGTATAATTTTACAGTATCTGCATACTGTTACACAGTATCGCATATGATAAAGTATCATATAATTTTCAGTTGCAAGAAGGCACAAACAGCAGTAACACTTCCTTGCCTGTTATTCAGATCTCTTACTCAGAGGTGATTTGAAGGGTAGTCCAAAATCTCTCTCCTGGGTGTGAGGACCTGCAGGCAGCCTGGAGGGCTTGCTTCCCTCTGTGCCCTTCCCCTGCCTCTAGTATTTTTCTCTGTGCCTTTAAAAAAAACAATTAGTACTTCTTTATTTTGTGCTGTAGTTGTGAGCTTCACCCTTGAACTGTTATCAGGATGGCTTTTTAAAGAGTTTGGATGCGGTTGGTCAGGGACTGATCAGTCCTTCAGCTCCTAAGATAGAGAATCAGCCCCTGTGCAAGCTCCAGAGAGTATGGACAGTCCTTGTGAGGGGTTCGTGGTCATGAAAAGGACCTCAGTGTGGTTTTGAACAAGCAGCTGTTTGAAGCCTCCTTTGCCAGACATCGATGCATCAACAATGATGAAGCGTTCTTAGGAATCAGAGGGGAAAAATGGCATTCTATATTGAACTTCGAATTTTATTTTTTCTTTTTTTTTTAAAATTTAAATTTTATTTTTTTAGAAAATAAAATTATCCTGTTAGAATACAAATATCAGTTGTCAGACAGCTATAATTTTACAGTATCTGCATACTGTTACACAGTATCGCATATGATAAAGTATCATATAATTTTCAGTTGCAAGAAGGCACAAACAGCAGTAACACTTCCTTGCCTGTTATTCAGATCTCTTACTCAGAGGTGATTTGAAGGGTAGTCCAAAATCTCTCTCCTGGGTGTGAGGACCTGCAGGCAGCCTGGAGGGCTTGCTTCCCTCTGTGCCCTTCCCCTGCCTCTAGTATTTTTCTCTGTGCCTTTAAAAAAAACAATTAGTACTTCTTTATTTTGTGCTGTAGTTGTGAGCTTCACCCTTGAACTGTTATCAGGATGGCTTTTTAAAGAGTTTGGATGCGGTTGGTCAGGGACTGATCAGTCCTTCAGCTCCTAAGATAGAGAATCAGCCCCTGTGCAAGCTCCAGAGAGTATGGACAGTCCTTGTGAGGGGTTCGTGGTCATGAAAAGGACCTCAGTGTGGTTTTGAACAAGCAGCTGTTTGAAGCCTCCTTTGCCAGACATCGATGCATCAACAATGATGAAGCGTTCTTAGGAATCAGAGGGGAAAAATGGCATTCTATATTGAACTTCGAATTTTATTTTTTCTTTTTTTTTTAAAATTTAAATTTTATTTTTTTAGAAAATAAAATTATCCTGTTAGAATACAAATATCAGTTGTCAGACAGCTCCTGGAGAAACTGGCCTCTGTCCTCCACGCAACTAGTTCAGCCAAGGAAATAAAGCAATCCACTAAAAGAAAAGCTTATGGGAGCTGGGGCAGGAACAAGTTCATGCAGGTAGCAACTATTCTTCAGCAAGAAGGAATGAGCTAAGGAAGATAAAAGCCTGACAGAAGAGATTGAAAAAAAGAGAGCCATGAAGCCAAGCTTAGATGAAGGGAGGAGAGGAGAGGAGAGGAGAGGAGAGGAGAGGAGAGGAGAGGAGAGGAATCTATTCCCCAGTGAGACTAATAAGGATTCTCAAAACTTAGGGTAAACCAGAAGATGGAAGGCCTAAAGGCTGAAGAAAAAGGCAGTGACAATCACCATCAATGACCGTGAACTCCAGACACAGCCATCAGACTGCATTCCTAAAGCACTCCTGTGGGGAATTTACCATACAGGGTTGTCCATGGTTACATTAATTTTTCTTTTGCACGACAATTTTCTCCAAGGCATTCAAACAGGCAGATATGTGGGTAGCACAACTGAACTGTTTCAAAAACATGGTGGGATCTTCATCCACTTCAATAAAAAGACATTTATTATTACCTGACAATTACTATTCAAACATCTTATGCTACACTATATCAGCTATATCACAGTATATCAAATATCAAGGCTGCTGAGTACCTGAATGAAAGGGAAGAGCAGTCCGACTGCGAAGTTGGAGAGCCAGTTGACTGTTCCACCTACCATGAAAGCGGCTGGTCTCTGTGACTGCTGGAAAAGCTCTCCAGTGAGGACAAACGGAATCCCACCTGAAACAGGGTCCAACAAGTCAGTGGTTTCAGTAAGCTTCCCCTGCTTCCAGCTGTTTCCCCGATAGAGATGAACATGCTCTGTGTTGCACACCTCAGCGACTAGCGCTGCTCTGCAGCTCTCTGCCCAGGTGTATGCAGGGGCTTCTGAGCCAGTAAAACGTGATTTGTCAAAACCGTACTTTAGAGAAAGGACACCTCTCCCTTTCATGCCACTGCATCTGCTGTTCTACATACTTTCAGTGATGGCAAGCAGGTAACAGAGCAGTGAATCCACACAACAGTTTCGGCTAAAATCTTTGAAATTCTGAAAATTCAGAAATATTCCAAAATACTTTCAGACCTTAACAATTGTAAAGATGGCTCTAAAGAGATTAAACAGTATTTTTTGATAATTGTTACCCACTTTATTTTAGCAATAAAAAAGACAAAACATTTGCTTCTCTATAAGCATACTTTTCACTGATGATTATTTAATACATTCCCTTACTAGAGACACTGTTGGCACTTCTGGCAAGGTCTATTTCTCCCATCCATCAAGGACTCTGACCTCCGTAATAACAAGCTGAGTTGAATACCACATTTGTCACTCGTGTTTCCTTCCACTTAGACAGTGGACTATTTTGTACAGCACTGGCATATTGCTGGCCTGACAACAGCCTCGGGGAATAGCTGTCTGATAGCTGAAAGTCTCAATTTATGATCTTTGGCTTTCTTCATTCCAATAGGGTATTTCAACAGAAATATTTCTATTTTTATAGAATAAAACACGGATTGAATTTACTGATTGGCTACATATTTCTGTTAATGTTACACATTAAACATGCGTCTACTTGCAGGATTATTTCACCACAGTTTGGAAAATTGTAAACCTAGCAAATCAGACAGGTTTTCAGTATTCTGGTGCTAGCAGTTGCTTCCTGCAGGTCCTCATGTCTGTCAGCATCATCAGCACCACTTAGCTTTGTGGGCAAGATCCATGTACACATGTACTGAGCAAGTCCATTCTCTGGCTTTAAGCATTTTAACACGCTAGTGTGAGCAATCAAAAAGCATATTAATGGACACACTTCCTCTCAAAAACCTCTACAAGAATCCTGACTTCCAAAATACATATACATTAAGATAAAAACACCAACAAAGACTTATCCACCCACTGGATCTTCTCCTTGTATGTCTTTGCTTGATCTATGTGTTTATCTTTTTCACTACCCTTACCCTTGGACAGTTGTGAATACATCTGTAAGTGCTTTAGAGTGCACAAAAGAAAGGCAACATGATGCAGCAAAACAGCTATATATGTCAGGCATCACTCTTCATCATCAGGTAATGTGACTTTTTGTGAGAACATTATCTACAATGGTAGCAAAAGCTTCAGCTGAACTTTCTGTTCCAAAGACTGTCAATATAAATTACACCAAAAAAAGTAGAGAGGAAGTAAATTTATTTACTCTTACTTTACACACAGAAAACGGAGATATGGAGAGTTTAGGCCATCCAAGCCCCAGCTTAGCGTCTTTCTACAAGCCATATGTAGTATCTGAATTCTCTGACTGAAAAAAGTGACCTCTCCCAAATTTGAATATGTAGAATAAACAGCTGAACAGGCATAACTTAATGAAATTCAAGCAACATGGGGTCTATCAATCCCTGGTGGCTTCCATTCCCTGTTCTATCATACACCTGGGATTTGTGTTCAAATCCTAAGATATGGCAGGCAAAAAAACAATCACATCTGTTCTGTCAGCATCTGTCTTAGGTCTCAAACGCCACGCGAGGCAGTGGTTTACCAGGGCTCTTGCCCCTTGGAGAGAGGAACTGAAGAACTGGAAACAGAAATCATTTAAGATGATTTATTTATGATCATTTATTCTGTCAGGCCTTTGCTGTAGGACAATCTACAGAGGTGTTGCTGTTCTTGTCAGTATAATAAAAAATGCTGTTCGAGACCCATTTGGGAAAATACACATTGTATGAGAGAGGAAAAAAGCCAGAGGCGAAAAAAAGGCAAAATAAAGTACAAAAGGACAGAAACATATCAGACAGAATAAATGTTATGGAAATAAAAATGCATGGGTATTGTGTTGGAAGACGGTTCCTTGAAATTCAAATGTAATTTCTAGATACATACTAATCATCACTAAAATTTATTATTAGCCATACTTGTGATAAAAGCTTTTCAATCCAATTTGAAAAATAATCAATTAATCTAGTGATGGTAAAAATAGTATTTTGCAAGGTCTAAAAAAAAATATCAGCAGCTCCTCTGAGCTCTTTCAAATGTTCTGTAGAGGAACACATGTTCTGTTGGCACTAGGTTTGCTGGTGTCAGATGGGACTCCTCTTTCTCAAAGGGGGTAGAGGGTCTTTGCTCATGAGCTAGTGGGGCTCACTGACAGAGCTTTAAAGTATACTTGAAGAGGGAGGGGGATAATACCAGGCTTGCCCGTGACAAGCTGTGGGATGACACACTGAAGTTAGAGGGACAGGGTGCTAGTGAGGAACCTCAGCCTGGTGCTCTGAGACCTGCTGGCTGCACTGCAGTACAGCTGGAGTCTTACAGAGATGAGCCAGGGGCTCCTGAAGTAATAGGGGCCATCAGAGAAACACCAGTGAAATAGCTCAACGGAATTAAGGGGTGTTCCTCTAATGAAAGCAACACTGCTGACTGCCCAGCTGAAGTGCCTCTACACGAATGCACACAGCATGGGCAACAAACAGGAGGAGTTGGAAGCCACCGTGCTGCTAGAAAGCTATGACCCGATTGCCATTACCCAAACTTGGTGGGACAAATCCCATGACTGGAGGGGGCTATTGGTGGCTACGGGCTGTTCAGAAGGGTCAGGCAAGGAAGGAGGGGCAGAGACATTGCCCTCTACATCAAGTAATGTTATGAGTTTGAAGAGATGTCCCTGAAGAATAGTCACAAGCAGGTCGAAAGCCTATGGGTAAGAATAGACAGGGACAACAAAGAGAACCTTGTGGCTGGTGTTTACTCCAGGCCACCTGACCAAGGGGAGCCTACTGACGAAGCCTTCTTCCTCCAGCTCCAGGAGGCTTTGCGCTCTCAGGCTCTTGTCCTGCTGGGGGACTTCAACCACCCCAACATCTGCTGGAAAAGTAGCTGTTGGCAATCCAGGAGACTCCTGGAGTGCATTGAGGATGACTTCTGAAGCCAGGTAACAGCCCTATGAGAGGGGATGCGATACTGGACCTACTGGTCACCAGCTCAAGTAAGCTCATCGGTGACGTCAAGATTGGAGGCAGCCTGAGCTGCAGTGATCACGCACTGGTGGAGTTTGCAGTCCTGAGGAATATGGGTCAGGCAAGGGGTAAAGGACCCTGAATTCTAGGAAAGCAGACTTCCAGCTCTTCAAAGACTTAGTAGGAACCCCTGGGGAACGACCCTCAGGGAGAACGGGGCAGAACAG